TCTCTCTCTCTCTCTCTCTCTCTCTCTCTCTCTCTCTCTCTCTCTCTCTCTCTCTCTCTCTCTCTCTCTCTCTCTCTCTCTCTCTCTCTCTCTCTCTCTCTCGTGTGTGTGTGTGTGTGTGTGTGTGTAGATCGTCCAATAAATCGCAATATAACTAGCGAAGAAATGTTCATTTAGACATATAGAATAAATTCTTTCGCAAAATTGAAATACGTAATATCTACATCGAATGCTATCATTGTTGTTAAAACGTGTCCGATCCCAAAATTTTCGTCGATTGAAACGCTCAAAGGAAGCTCTCCCTACGTATATATGCCACCCCTATATGCCGAACACGCAACTCACACGTACACAGTTGTATTGGATGAAGATACGTCGTCGGTTTCACAGGTTTCTGGCACCTGGCACTTAAATCGAGCCCGCGAAATTTCAGCCGACACTCCGGTAAAAGCCCTTCGAGACTTTCAGAATGGATTGCGGATGATGGGAATGGCATGGGAAACCGGAATAAATTTCAGAACGCGACTCTCCTTTTTCCTAATGCATCCGTCCGATTCTTTTCCGCCCCGTCTTTTCCCTCGCGATTCCATCGAACTGCTTTACTGACATTTGCGAAACTTACGAAGTATATGAATGAAGAAATCTTCGATAGGTACAGCGACGAAATCTTACACAGAATGCTTATGCGACTGAAAAGGAAAAAGATTTTGCGTAAAAAACAGATTGAAAATGTAGCGGAAAATTGTTTCCATTAAGCTGCTTATAATATTTCTTAACATTTTAATTTTACAAACAACTCGCCACTAACACAAACATTACTAATTGCTTCATAAAATATGGAAACTTTTTTATTTATGTTTTGATAGCGTTAAGAAATTTATATTAACATAATGCAAATTATAAAAATTTAAATATCATGTAAAATATTAATTTCTTGATATTCAAAATCGATTTTCTTTGATACTTTGATACTACCAGGAAATGCGGAAAAAAATTCAAATAATGCGTTTGAGTTACTGCCAATAAAAACGGCAAAATTGATGAAAGATTCCGGATGTTGCATTTCGTATTTTCAGTAAAGCATCAACATAGCCAAATTTATTTCCGAAAATAGAAAACTAAAAATCATTTCGGGGCATAATTCGCTAATTTCGTGACTTCTAAAATTAAACATTTCCATAGCACCATCGTGTCTTGTAACTTTCATAGGAATCCGAAACTCTTGAGAGCAGAGAGGGACATAAAAAGCAATAAAACGTAATTCTCTCCGTTAAATAACATACAAAACTCAGTACACGCAAAAGTCTTATTTTCAAATTTCAAATCTTTTTTAAATGAAATCATCATCTTTTCGTGGTTATATTATCAATAATTCTATGTAAATTGTAAAAATCGTGGAAGTTAAAACTTCTGTTTTTCAAGTTTTTGATAAGAAGACATAGAATATGTTTCAAGTGGAAAGGCAATTCCCTCTGGCAGTGAAATTTATTCACGCTCGTTTTTGATATATGTTCGCCTACCGCGCAGGATTTAATACGAAAGTCGAAAGGGCTTAACCCTTGGAGTGCCGACGGGCACACGTCTCCTGAGTGTTCATTTAAATTCTTATCACGCCGACAGCGACTGTATATTAAGATCTTTCCTATAACAAACATACGCTCAGAGAAGTTGTTCAAATTACATGGAAAATATTTAATATTTTAAATTATTGTATATTATTACAACTGTGCACTGGTTTAAGAATTAACTTTATGTATATCTTCGTCTTCCTCATTCTCTCTTGATTTTATTATATTTCTATTACATTATCATATAAGTTTCGTTCTGTTTCGATACCGTGTAAATTCGATAATTATCTACTTAGAAAGATGAATATTCACTGTAAAGTGTTGAAAAATGTCAAGTGTTATTTTTGTAGAAGGAAAGAAGCAATATCATACTTTTTGTTAAACTTTACTTTTTGTTAAACTTTAGAAAAAAATTATAAAAATTGCAAGATTGAGTTTTTATTTTGATTTATGAAGAAAACATAATTGAATAAAATAATATATTCCGCTTTTGTTATTTGACACTTTTTCATATGCGTCTTTCTCTTGTGCTTTCTTTCTTTTTCCCAAATTACAAAATATTATACAAAGACGCATGTTATTAATAAAGACGAAGAGACTAAACCAAAATTAAACCAAAATTTCAGCTGGCTTCCTGATTAATATTTCAGTTAAATAATTTTAGAGGCAAGAGAAATATTATTAAAATAAATATGTAGCTACAGCACAGCTTGTTATCTTTAAAAAATATGCCATTAGCTTATAGAAACATAAAAATATAAACAAGCTCTATAAACTGAACAAATTTAAATAAATTTTGATTTATAAATATGATGACTAGATACATATGCATACTATAGTTATATGATTAGTTCATCGTTTAGTCTAAATTAAATTAAATTTAGTAATTTACAAACCATCTTTCTCTCTCTTTCTTTTTCTACTCTTTCTTCTATCCTTTCTCTTTTTCTCTTGAAAACACTTGGGCGAAATATAATGCGAATTACGAAAGGGTAACGTATTGAACGCGGGCAAATGTTCGGACGAACTTGTTCGCCGCGAGTTCGGCAAAGCGAAGTTCGTTCGTTGGTAAATCGGGACTCGAAACACTATATAATTCCGCAGCTCGAGAAAACCTTTCATCTCGCGAGGAATTAATTTATACGAGCGTGTTATCGAACGAAGCCGAGCCCCCTCTCCCCCGATGCGATCCGTCGGTTTGGAAGGCTCACGATGGAATCCCGGACGGGATTGAAATTGTTCGCGGATGAAATTCCCCGGGTGTGTTCACGGGAATTCGGAATCAAGCTTTAACAAACTTCGAATAGAAATGCAGAAGGCCGTCAAACTTTGTCCAGGACGGCCGGACAAAGCGCGACGCGATCGGGAAAGAAAAATTGCCGCGCCCGCACCCCCACCTCCACCCTCCCCCTTCTCCTCGCCTTGCGCGAGGAATCAACGTGATTAATTACGCTTTTTGTCGCTCGGATCGTCAAGTTGATCCGAGTGTCCCTCCGCAGCTAATACTCTCAAAAAGATACCTAGGCAAAGCAGCGCGCGCTCTTTGATCGCCACGTGCGTCCCTCTGTCATTGTCGATAATATCTATTCCATGGCGACAAACGATATGGTCAGTGTTTAATACCGTGCATTTATAATCATAATCGCAATGCCGATATGATACCGGTGATTAATTATATATACATATAAAATCTTTTTTCACCCTTGTCTCTCGAACCGAGACCGGGATCGTGCCTCTTCTATCGCGTATTAAATTTCATAATGCCGCGCGCGAGAGATATAGTTTAATATCGTATGACTGCAATAGATTAATTAGAGTGCCGCTCTCCAATTCCGTTTGTTACATCAATAATTATTCAGAATCGCCGCAAAATATCGCACGTTTGGTAATAGTGGCACACAGAGGAGGCAGCATCTTGCGCGCGAACGTAACGGCTCGATATAACATTCGCTTCGGCAAACTCTCGATCGTATAACTCCAGCCAGCGAATATTTCTTGTTTTATTTATTTATTTTTTTTTGTTTTTTTTTTTATTACATATTTCACTTTATCCATTCACCACACGTGCTAACTTTTCATGTTGTTACTGTTAATACACCGCGGCCGCACATCGAACAAGCTACATCGGGATCGGGATACAAATGCCACGAATACCTTCATTCGATTGTGTGCGAGCTGGCACGTATGTACAATGAATGAAAACTTGGAACACGTTGCCCTCCTACGTGATCGCGACCGATGTCCCAATCAAAAGCTAAGAGACCATCCCTGATTCCGGGCTTATTGGCGTGCGTGCCCGACGATGGTGCCCATCGATACGAAAGTTTCGCGCTCTCTTTCCTCGCGGAACGAGAGATCGATATTTCAAATGGGATTTCAAATGGGACAAGCATATCTGACGGTCCCCGCAAATTCCATCCCTGCTCATAATGAAGACGCTTCGCTGTCGGCCAATAATCTGATTAGGATTCTACCAATACTAATTTCGCCATTTAATCTAATAACTATCTTGAATAATTGTCGTTTCATGCATAACGACAGCTGAATAAGACAGCGTTCAATTTAAAATACAGTTCAATTTAAATACATGTTAAAGGGAAAAAAAATTACTCCAATATTTTTAAAAGAAAGTAGTTTAACGAGAGAAAACATTTAAAATATACGTAAAATATGCACGTGAAGTTGCAAGGATTCGAGAAGGACATTTAGCGATTTCAATACTTCCTTTTTCAAGTAATGTTATTTTTTTCAAGTGTACTTTAATTTTTCATCCGTGAAAACGTTTAGTGAAATAAAGATTGAAGAAAAAATTCAAAACTCGTTTTGCGATATAAGTTTCAAGCGCTTCCGGAGTATCGTATTTCCAATCACTTTCAGCTTGCGTTGGTCAAATTCCAAGGATAAAGTGAATATTGATAAATACGGCAAAAACGGCAAATACGGGTTATCTCTAGAAAACGCGGAAAAACGTGGCCGCGTGCTTGGCGCGGGCCGCGCTCGTGAATGAAGTGACGCGCTCGTATCGCACGCTCAAGTGTTATCAAAGTAAACCGTTAATTTTAAAAAAGATCTCTCGTTTAAATCAATCGGATCATCCATTTAATTTAGAAATCCGTACACCGCACAACGTATTTTACAATATCTGTTACACCAAGCTATTTACCTTGCGACGATCCTGGACTTCCGTGAGGAGAAACATCAAAGACTCGCAGTACTTTTCTCTGGGGCTTCTCCTTTTCTACATGCACCTCACGTGCACGTACGTATTACTTCTCGAGAAAAGGAGTTCTTCTGAGAGAGAGAGAAGGGAAGAGATGAGAAGAGACAGAACGAAAATCGACGATCGACTCGCAAATTTAGAAAAAAGAAAAAAAACAGTGAAGGGAAGACAGTCTCGAAATCGCGCGCGCACAGGAGCTTCCGCGAGCTTGCGAACACGACACGCGAGCCACAACGGCCAAGTGGCGCAACTGAACTCAGCTGAACCGAGTCGGAGCTTAAATTACCGAAGAGAGAGAGAAGGCGGCGGGGGGGTGGTAGCGGCGTGGTGGTGGCGGAACCCAGAGGGTGAGGATCGCGTCGTCTCCCTCGCATCGATTTACTGACAGTGGCGCGCGCTTCGCTCCTCGCGACTCGGTCGCGAGCGCTCGCGAGAGACTCGCGCACTTTCAGAAGCGCGAAAACGCCCGCGAGCTACTTCGCCGAAAGACAGAGCTCAAGGAGAGATTTCGTAAGATTCTAACACGAGTTTCATTTAGAGATTTGTGACTCTTTGACGGTTCCCGAGCGCGGTTCCCGAGACCGTCTCGAGCTTTATTGAAACTGCCAATTTTCAAGAGAGAGAGAAAGAGAGAGAGAGAGATCGTTTTTATAGACAGAATTATTCGACTACAATAGTGATTGAAAATGCTCGTGCATCGCATACATGAGACGCAAAATAAGATGTAAAAGAGAGAAAGAGAAGTATATTATTTTTTAAATGACTCGTTCATATTGTTGACATAAATGAGGCTATTGATTAACTTTATTACGTATATTAAGCAAAAAATTTATTTTAATTTTTTTTATTAATTGAATGTAAAACTCTCGAATCATGCTATTAAAACATTCGGTCTAATATTTAATTTATATTATCTGAGTTGAAGAGTAATAATAAAAATCGGAATCAAATTGTTTAAAATCTTGTATTCCTTTCCGTGCACTTTTAATGAGAATCAAACCGAAGAAGTCTTGTACCACGATCGGTTTTCAAGACAGTACCAGCTCTCGAGCGCAGCCAGAAGCCTTCTAGTGGAGAGAGGGGTGAGAGGAATGGAGGGTGCTCAAGCCGTTTTGTTCGAAATGAACCCTCTAGAAAATACTACGAAAGCGGCACAAAACTCGCAAACTGCAACACAGTCGGCGCATTTGCAATCGTATATAATGAAAGACTTATAACAAAATTGAATTTGAGAAACGGATAAATCCGGCAAAAATTGAAGATCGACGGAATGGCGGAGAACCGAATATCGAAGGGCTTGAGAAATTTTCAACGTGGGAATTCGTGATGGTCGATAAAAATCTACCGGAAAGCGATTAGGTTTCCAGGTGGCCTTATTTCCATCGCAATATTCATGATACATTGCATTAAGAGATTAGGCTGCTGCGAGCAAAATAAAAAAAAATACGTTAGCTTTATTGAACATTAGAGTAATGTGAAATTTTATTATTAAAATACGATCTTTCATATAAAAATATTAAAAAATATTAAAATTATTGATTCTTGAAAATGACGTTAGTAAAGAATTTAAATTACATGGTAGATCACTCACACGGGAAAATTTTCATGTTTTTCAAAATAAGGGAGTTTAAATTCATGGGATTAAAATTTTACGACAAAAGTGACCATTATCTCGTTGACTAAAAAAACTAAGCGGTCCGTCTCTCTTTTTTTCCAAAAAACTGCTAGGAAAAATGTTATATTTTTAACAATATGCACATTAAATTTAAAATATTAAGATTGATAATAAGAGAAACTTGTTAGATGTTAGAGCCATCGTTTTGAAAAATTGCAATTTATCGAGACATTACTTATCTAAATTATTAGTTGATTTAATTTTCTAATATTACCAAAATCTGTTTTAGTCTTAATTGAATCATCAAAGACTTTTCTTCAAATTTTCAAACAGTAGCTTGACCTTTTATGAAACAACTGCGAAGTATACTCGAAGTGTGTAAGACTTCTTGGCATATTTCTCGATGGCACTGTCGACTAACACAAAATTCGCCACGTAAGTAGGAAAAGGTCCCCGCGGGGACGATAGACCCCCGCGATCGATTCGCCTTTCCTAAAATCAGCGTTTTCCGAAATGTGATTTCAGGAAATGCCCGGTTCACCAACGCTCGCCCAAAGCTGATACGGTCGTTATTTCGACATTCGTGTGGCCGGCTGAAATTCCCCGCATTAATTAGCGTTTGAAGCTCGCGGCGCGATTACTCGCGTTATTCATGACTGCTGCGTTATTCATGAACGTTGTTCACCGGAAAAGCAAAGCAAGGGTTGCCTTTGTTGGCCGAAATTGTGATACTTCGAGCGAAAGTTACTCGCGGCGCTCGAAGGTAAAATTCAACACTCCTTTTTCGAAGAAATGCACCCCCCCCGTTGCATAACGTGAAACTATAAAGATCACGTTTCCGGTATAAATTTGACGTATCTCAACTCAACTTATCTCATTAATATACATCGAAAGTTATACATGATTAACGCGCCAACTTAATGCACACAAGAGTTGATTATCGCGACGCTTGATTACACCCCGGTATTATCGAAGTGAAGAGCCGTGCACGCCGGGATTACCTACGCGTGATTAACAATTTAAGTTTGTAATTTTGTTTACATAATCCGCTTTTGAGCGCTTTATCAACGATTTCGGCGGAAAGGCAAAAAAAAACGATAATTCGGAGGAGGAAATGGATAGGGTGTGATTCGACGTATATCGCCCTGGCGATTCCTCTCTCGCAGGCGGATTGCGTTACCGCGCGATGGTGTTGTGTCTGAGAGAAAAGGAAGAATACGTAACGAGCATGAAAAAAAACGGCGTCGGTGAAAACCCGTGCGGAAACAAGCGGCGCAAAAACCGCTTGGGTTTCCACCGTCGCTTCTTCCTTTTTTCCTTCCCCTGCAATGAGGACAATATATCGGGGATTTGGATTTTAACGATTTTTCAGTGATTTTTTTGCAGCAGTTTGCTCTCGGTGTTATGCATGTTCAAACAAAAAAATGCTTGCGTCATGCGTGCTTGTCAAAAAAATGTGTACAGTTATTGCGTACAAAAAACAGAGACATGTCGCTTTAATATTCGCTGTATTATGCTACCGTGGCGATAACTGGAAATCGATTTTTTTATACTTGTCAGGCCAGCAGTTTAAAGGTATTAACTACGATTAGTTGATTCTTAATGTTGCATAATCGGACAAATGAATAAATAATAGCGAAGGAGATAATCTTTGCTGTGAAATATTAACGCTTCAGGGTGACAACGTGACGAATAGACCGCGCGTCTTTTTCTCACACAATTATTTCTATTATACTCCTATATATGTCTATATATGCTATCATGAGATATTTTTCATTTCTAAAATAAATTTTATGCTTCGTCATGGACATAATTAATTCGCATTTAACTTTAAACAAATTTAATAGAATTTAAATTTAAATTACAGAAAAGAAAATAAATATCAAGGATTGAGAAAATTCAATGTGCGATGATCACCTACTCTCGATATCGTTAATAAAAAAAAATATGTAAATCAGTATGAATGGTTCTAGAACATCCTATATTTGAACGGGTTGCAGATGCCAGCTTACGAATGACAGGAGCAATTAATCTTTCATTCGTGGTTACTGCTCATCAGCAAAGCTAATCCGACATCTCGATTGCTGTTATTACTGACGTCCGCCGGTCATAAATTTTTAATTAAAATATTCTGAATCTTAAAGGATTCTCTCTCCGGGATCTCGAGAGTGAAAAGATATGGCGGAAACCTTGGCACGACAAGTTGTATAAAGGATCCATTTGAGAAATCTCGAGTCTGATTACATGATAAGATGCGGATTTCTCGCGGGAGACATCGTCGGAGTGAACCCACAGGGCGGCCGATAAAAATAGAGAGGACGATCTGACAGCAGAAATCGATATAAATCGACGACTAACTGGTTTTCTTATCCATCTTCCATAACCGATATCTCATCGTTCCCGCGAGAAAGCGAAGGAAGATCGAGTCCCGATGTCTTCTGCGGCGCGCACCTCTCTATGGCAACGCGTAACCGCACATTCGAGAGGAGATTTAGGGGTTTACCTTCCCTTACAGGATGCTCGATCGTATTTGTCAAGAAGGAGGATTCCGTAAGTAACGTCTTTAAATCGCGAAGGTGACTGTTTTTACAATAATTCGAATTGGAAGAAGGAAAATACGAAAGTTTCCTTCTATCGTTCGTACATCATATTTGAAACAATCACAAGTTTTATATCGTTATACAAAAAAATTGATAAAAATATATGATACGAAATAAAAAAAAAAAAAATATATATATATACATTAAGTGTCGCGAAATCATTTTCATTACAAATTTCTTAATTAATTTGAAATCGATTTCTCTCCCCAGCAGAAACACAAAGACTAAAATAAATATTTCTTTCTAAATTTTTAGGAAAAATAGAAATAACTAAAAATCAATTCGAAATTTAGTTGCAAAAATATCAATAGAAATCAAAAAGTATTCATAGGAAATTATCAATCACTTCGATATTTCTTGCCAAAAAATTATCGGCTACAAAAACTGCGAATTGAATAAACATTCGAAATTTAAGAGACACCCTGTATTATCTTGTTTTATGACATATTTATTGAACTGAATTTCTCGATTGATTAATGACTCCCGCATCAAAAATTTCATTCAAGCTAACAGCGAGAGGGTGGAGGCGGAAGAAGGCGATGGAGCGCGAACGAAGGGGGTGAGAAGAGAGCTTGTACTTCGAGGCAGGCCGGTTAGGGGCGCTACACCCTTGCCAACATGGCTGTCGCGGCCTGATACCCCGCGCGAGTCACCACGCATCCGGGCACCCGTGTCTCGTCCGTTATCAAGAAAACACAGCGATTCGCGCGAGCGGAAAAATCACGTGAGTACAGTAAGTGGCGGCGACGATTTCGCCATTTTCACGGATGCAAAAATCCATCGCGGATAGCGCCGTAAGAACGAGATATTTGCGTCAGACGGGACGAGTATTATCCGACAAGGTACGGCTGTTCTGCGTGACATGGGTGGCACGCGTAGATGTGTGTGTGTGTGGTTGTGTGTGTGTGATACGTGTGTGCGTATCGTTCCTCGTATGTACAATTGCGTCGGTGTTTTCGAGACGCGTGTCTACATCGGCGATCAATAAAATGGCGGAGGGCGGAATATTTTGACAACGGTGTGCGTGTATTCTCGCGCCTGTCGAAGACACCCCCGGCGTCTCGCCGTCATTCTGTACACATTCGCACCCCCCCCTTCCCCGTTTGCATCCGTCCGTATCTATGCGCTGCCACTTCCTACCCGTGTTGTCCCTTCCCGATCGTTTCCGCTCTGGCGTTATCCGCCTCGTCGGTGATATCCCACGAGATGTCGCGTCGGGGTGGGTTGATAATGTCGCGGAGGTTCTCCCGTATCGCCCACGTCGAACGACGTGGATGGCGAACGCGAATCGTAGCTTGAACGGCGACGTAGCGGAAAACATAAATCTTAAGAATTTCGCTAGACGGCCTTGCCGTTTTGTACGAGATCTGATGTAACAAAAAATAATATTGTAAACATAGAGAACACGTGCGACAGAAATCAGATTTATCTCATCTGCAATGCTCGTTTTTTTTTTTTTTCACGCTTATACTTGCTGCTTTTGTGAAATAAACATTTCATGCTTCGTGGACAATGACAGAGACTTCTCATTCGGATTTAGAACTGTTTGTTCATTTCATTTTGTTTGGATTAAAGAGTACGTACAAATCTGATCTAAATAGAGATAGACACTCTACTTCATCTGACTGCCTGTAAGAGATGTGAACTCCGTCTTTCTCGACCCTCGTAGAATATCGAGTTACAATGGTAAATACACTCTCGCGTGGAACTATACCGGGTGTGTATCAGAAATGTTATAATTTCTTCGATTATAGATTATTGGACGTGCTCGGAATGTATTGCCGATAAAGATTTATTGGCAAACGCGTGCATAAGCTTATGTAAAATTGAGTATTAAACGGGATTGCGCCGTCTCAAACATTAAAGTAGGTCACGTGTCCGGAATAAATTAAAATTAATCGGCTCGGTATTTCATTTGTTTTACAAAGCTGTAAGTGAGCTGTTTGTCGCGGACGTTTGCAATTTACAAAATCTTGCTTTATATTGACGTATCGGACAAATTGCGAAATTAAAAAAACAAATAATTATTTCAATAATATCAAAGAAATTGTCGTTTGGTTTGAGATTAATAGCGATCGTGAAATTAACAATACGCCCTGTATGTGTAACGTATCGTCGCGACATAGAACACCGGGCTTTTTCATCAAAGCTCTCCAGCTATCGTGCGGTGACAAGTTTCTGACAGCGACGAAAGTGCAGCCAGAAATTCGGCGAATGACCCGCAAACTTCTCCGTTCGGGGCGATCGAAGGCGTCTAGGCGAGAAACCCCAATGTGCTTTTCACCGAGGTATCCAGTTACAAGCGGTAATGCACTCCCGATATGTATTCCCGACACGTACGAAACTGGTGGAACAGCAATACGGGTGATGCATTAAAGATTTTGCACGGATACCTCGATGCAATAATTAATAAAGCGCAATTCGCACCTCGTGTCAGTTCTTTGCTTATGGCAGATTTTTGCATTGGCAAAAGGAATATCTGATGTGCAAAGGGTATATGGAAATCAACCTGGATGAAACGTACAGGAATATCTGCTGATATATCGAATTTATATTTTATATATTCCTCATATAATACATATAACTCAAAGTTACGATAAAATATGTATCGACATCAGGACATTAAAGATTAGTCATATAAATGTCCTCATTAAATATAATTTTATTTAGCTGTTGATATTATAAATTATTAATGTTTTAAATTATAATTTAATTCCAAAATTATTTTTCCTCGAAACAGGAAGGAAAACAAGATTTGTAGTTTCATTTATTTATTTTCATGTGAAAAATTTCATAAAAACCACTCTCCAAAAAGTTTTTTCTTCTTTTTGGTCTGTGGTTTCCTACATAAAAATATAAAAATACACATTGGAAAAAATTTTTTTCTACTGAAAAAAAATATTTTATTGTAATTTTTGAAAATAATAATTCTAGTTTATGTGACACTTTGATTAAAACGTAATCTTAAAATCTTAGAATCTTATCTTAGAATTTTATCAAACATTGTCATGAAAGAAGGAAATCTCATTGGGGAAAAGGGTTGATATCGAGTCGCCATCTTGTTTGACAAAGTCAATACTGATTCTCATAGATTTTTCTCCCTTGAGCCCTTTGATGACGATGTGTATCGGATTTCAGCAGAACATATCTTCCTTTATACTCTTTGATACACTATGATCAGAATTGCGACAAAGTTTATTTATCCGAGAGTTGACCAAGTTTCTTCAGAAAAAGTTACGGTACAACGACATATGTATGTATCAGTGTGTGCGCTTCCGTTGATATTTTACAATTAATGCGATCGACGTGCCTGTTTACGTTTCACGAATAATACAAAGTTGCATAAATTTACCCATTCGACTGGTGAAACGATATAAAAGTTCTCTAGAATTTATTGATCGATTTTAATGGCTACTTTTATCACTCTTCCCTTTGAGACACTTGTACGTCTCTTTTTCTTTTATTTATTTTTTTTTATTGTCTGTCCCATCACATTTATTATTCATACGTTCACTATCCACTTCAATACAAACGCACCGTATTCTCAAAAGTCTCTTTAGAAGAAACTTATAATTAAACGAACTTATAATTGATGAGGATGCATAATTATAAAGCATATAATGAACGCCTCTTCAAACTTGCATAGCAAAAAAAAGAAAATTTATCCGAACTTACTTCGGATATTCTTATCTAAAAATCTCTTTCTTCCAACATTATACTCTTCTTCCAATTATATTATTACGCTTCGAAGGAAAAAAGGAATAAAATTTAGTATTATTGTTTATTATTATTATTTACTTTGTTTATTATTATTAATTTTATTATGATTATATG